GAAATTTGCTTTTTAACTTGGGGAATTTTAGTTAAATTACTCCTAAGTGAGGGAAAATTAAGTATGTTTTTGTCTCATATTACCTTTAGTATATGTGTATGTATATACACACATGCATGCCATATGTTGTTATGTGCTGTCTGGTCACCCCGACTCATAGTGATCCCTCCTTGAGTTTCCAAGGCAGTATCAGTACGGAAGTAGATTGCCCAACCTTCCTTCCGAGGAGTGGCTGGTGGGTTTGAACTGCCAGCCTTCTGGTTAGCAGTCAAGTGCCTTAGGCACTATGCTGTTTTTTCCAATTAAGGGAGATATAGAAAAAGGCATTTAGATCCAGAAAAGATGTTTAAGAAACCAAACCAGTTGTCATGGTGTTGATTCCAACTCATGACAAGCCCATGTGTTGCATAGTAGAACTGTGCTTAGTAGAGTTTCCATGGCTGAGACCTTTTGGATGCAGATTGCCAGGCTTTTGTTCTGAAGCACCTGTGAAGACCATTAGTCTTTTAGTTGGTAGCTGAGTGCTTAACAGTTTGTACCAGCCAGAGACTACTAAAAGGGATGTGAGCCATCATCAAATATCACTTTCATTTCTAGAAGCTATATATACCGCAAAGGAGCTCTGGTGGCACAGCGATTAAGGCATCCGGCTACTTATCACAAGGTCGGTGGTTTGAACCAGCCAGCCCCTCTTCAAGAGTAGGATGAGGCAGCCTGCTTCCATAAAGATTTACAGCCTTGGAAACCCTATGGGGCAGTTCTGTTCTGTCCTATAGAGTCATTGTGAGTCAGAATCAACTCATTGAAAGTGGGTTTGATTTTAGGGGGATATATACTACTATTTTCCATGCAGTGATTTGTTTGGTATTTTCTAGATTAATTGTGTAGTTACATTAGAAAGAAGAATATTAACCATTCCGAAAGCTACCTGGAGTTGATGCACATGAAGCTTAAATGAACATTTAGTGACACTAATACACTGAGTGAGGCAAAGTGGCAAAGTGATGTACTAATGACAGTGTTATATTATGAATCAGGAGGCCAGAATTCAGGGCTTTACTTCTCTGACTGTCCATTTTCTCATCTGCAAAATGAAGGGTGTGTATATCAGGGATGACAAATTCAAGGTGCCTCTGCTGCCACTCCTTTCTTCGTCACCCACAGCTGACATTAGTAATCATTCATGGCTTCCTTTTGGTCTAGAATCCTTCACCACACAGCGCTCAAGGCAACCAATACAGTCATGCACAACTGGCGCCCAGCCTGAAAGCTGTTTTCTATCTTTGGATGTGCTGATCTATAAAGACTCTTCCAGGTCTAACTCCCAGAAATATACCGTCAGAAATACAAAAGCTGTGCCCAATTGAGTATGTCTTTCAGTCTGTCTTTCCTCTGGACATTAACTTTATAGCATGTAGGGTTCTGGGACATGAATCTGTTTACAGTCTGTGAATCTACCGACCTCACCAGTCTTGGCCTTTAAAACCTGTCCTTAGGATAAAGCTAACCTACGGAAAATTCTTGTTTGATACCTGCTCTAAGTGACCTTTACCATCTTTCCTCTGAGGGTTTCCTAGATTCTCTGCTAGGGTGCCGTGGTACACTTTGTGTACTGCTTTCCCCTAGTCAAGCTTCCTTTCTTTATTCTTTCTTGATTTTTCTTACACATCCCACAGGCTTGTAGGTGTGGAATCTCCTAATTTCCTGGCCACTAAAGCATCTTCCCTAGCCATGTGTGTTATTGAATACAAAAGAGCTTATGAACAGAGGAAGTTCATACCTGCTCCCTGACCACTCCCAGCGCTTGTCTAAGCATATTCCTCCTTGCTGCCCTCCCTCAGTTTCGTAATCATTTGATCTTCTCTCCTCCCTGATGACTAGTAACTGGGATAGGTGCCTAAAGCATTCATCTTCAGTTCTCAGACATATATTTTCTCTGAGTCTCGGCATTATATATCTTGGCATTGTGTATTTTATAGTAGTGATAGTTTACAAATGTGTTTGTCCACTTAATTACCAATGAGGAATTCTTAAGTAATGTTGTGTAATTGTTATGAGTGTGCAAAACAAAAGATGGATACAAGTCTTTAGAGGCCTTCAGCTACTCTTTTCAAAACTTGCATTCTAATATCAGTTCAACAAGTCCTTGTTTGTCTCCTTCCTCTTGATGTCAGTGGAAAGGAATGCTGTGCTTGGAAGGTGGAAACCAATTTGATCCCTTAGTGTAACATCCCAATGAGATCTGTTGACATCTCGTTTTACCACTTAATGCAGCCAGGGCATTTAAAGGCAAAGGTTTGGGGATGGGTACCTTTGAGAAGGGAAATTTTTATTCTTACCTGGCAGGTGGAGTCCAGGCAATAGGATTGTATTTCCTAATTATCATAACCTTTCTAACTGTCATAAAAGTGGTTTTAACTCCTGTGGCTTCCAGCTAAATAAAAGACAGACATATGGGCTGAACATTTACATCAGGTAGAGAGACTCCTTGGAGAGATGAATCATGGGAGAACAGAAGGGCAGTGTATGCACAGGGAGACTGCTGTTGGGGGCAGGAGTGCATGGGAGGGAAGGACATAGGGAAGAGATAACTATAGGGAAGAAGTGGGAAGGGACCTGTTACATTGTACGAAATTGTAGTCAATGTCATGAGACAAAATACGTGTTTAAACTACTGTATGGAAAATGAAATTGCTCTGTAAACTTTCACCCAAATGACAATAATTTTTTTTTTCGAAAAATGGTTTTAAAATAACTTTGCTAGAGAGGAATAAGGGAGCTCTAGTAGCATAGGGGCTAAGACACTTGCCTGCTAACCAGACGGCTGGCGGTTCAAACCCACCAGCCAGTCCTCGGAAGGAAGGTTGGGCAATCCTACTTCCATAGTGATACTGCCTCGGAAACCCAAGGAGGGGTCGCTATGAGTCGGGGCCGACTCAATGGCACATAACAACAACGACAACAGAGAGGAATAAAAGAAAGAATGATAATCTTAACATCCTAGCCACCTGCCATCATTTGCTGGCAATATTTCTTAAGGAGTATAAAAACAACATTTAATATCAAATGATTAAGCGCAAAGAATTTGTCATTCCCACTACAGCAGTGAGTTGATCTTCCTGGAAAAGGGCGTGAATGACCACAGGCCTCCCCATGGCACAGCTGTCATATCCCCAGCTGATCTGGTCTAAATAACATCCTGTCTGCCCTGGGGATCTGCACACTGAAGGAGTTGCACCAACCCCAGGCCTTGCCAAACTGGGCCTGGCTCTTTGTAGCTGTTAGTGCTTACAGTTGCCGTGAGATAAACACCTGCCTGATGGGCTTTGGGAAATAAGAGATGAGCTGGAAGGGTAAAAATATTATAATGTAAAAAACTTAGTCCATGTAAATAATGGTGCTGAATTATACCTATAAAAATTGTTGAATTGACAACTGCTTTGTTATGTATATTTTTACAACAACTAAAAAAAATTAAATTATCTAAACTGTTCTTAAATTATAGTATAACCAAAGATAACTACTCAAAACTCATCACATTCTGATCAGTACTACATTTTTCTATTTATGCTCATAGGTTATTTACATCTATTGTAAATAACCACATCTATTGTAAATAACCTATTAACATGTGTTGCTAAGGTGAAAGAGATTTCACATTATGAATACAATGAGTACAAGGATCATTACAATAGATCATTTCTCATGTTTAATGACAATATTTTAGTTGGGGGGGGAGGGGACTAAGTCCAATTATTATCCCATAATCTGTTGTTTCTAGTTGCAACAAGGAAGTAATAATGATAACAGCTTAGTTGTAAATGAACACTTACTGTGGTAACTTGTAAACAGACATTTTGTCATGTGCTGTTTATATGTTGGCTCAGTTCACTCTCATACTTCATCAAACTGGGGTTCAGAAACGCCAAGCAAGTTAGAGTTAGATGGCAGTTAAGTGTCAGCCAGAGCTGTCTTACCTAAGGCCACGTTTTTAGCCAACACATTCTCCTGTCTCCTCAAACAAACAAAGTGCCCCCCAAAAAATCCCTTCTGGTTTCTGGCTTGACTTAGCTATTGAGCCCAGCACACAGGTAGAGCCTCTTTATGAGCCAGTGTATCCTACCTAGCCTCTGTATACTTTGCTGGGATTCTGATTAGTCATGGAACCATTCTCCTATGCAGTCTGCTTACCTCACTAGATAGAGCTCAATTTATCAGCATGACACATGAGTAAAGGAGAGTCTTAACCCCACCCTTGAACAGGCATTGATGCCTCATCAAAACAATGTTTTATGCTCAAAGAGCCTGGGAAGTTAATGAAAACCTGTAAGTCAGCCACATCCTTTACAGACTGATTCCTAGCAGACACCTTGGTGAGATAACTACAAAATCTCACCTGGCTGACCTAGCCCTGTAGTGACCTTCCTTTTTTGATCTCCTAGGCAGCAGGCTGGGATACTGATCCTTGAAGTTGCAATTGCTGAAAAGTGGCAGATAACATTTGTGGACACGTAGGACGTATACATCAAAATCAGATTTTTAACAAGAATTCAGATTGATCTGTATGCTGTATTTACTCTGTACTATTTCATTTATTCTCTTTAGATGCAAGTAAGATTGTCTTGTATGTCCCAACTAGTGATAGAGTGACTTTACTGGGAGATATAAAACAATCCTGGCAGTCTGTTTATTTTTAAGGAACTCTAGGGATCATCTTTGGTAGGTGTCAGGGGATAACTAATGAAAATTTATGTTCAGTTGTGATTTATTAAAACTTCATTTAGTTCATAGGAGTGAAGACCAGTGTTATCAGAGGGTATTTCATTTACTCTAGTACATCAAAGAATCACAACATTATTGCTATTAAATATGATTTATAAGATTATTTGGGAAACTTGATCTTGTCTTTCTGTTCTTTTATTCTCCAGGTTCCAGTTACAACCACCTTGTGACATAACTTTTTAACTATCTTTGGAAAAATATTGGCCAAGGAAAAGAAAATGATAAAGTTTTTCCTCATGGTAAATAAACAAGGGCAGACCCGACTTTCTAAGTACTATGAACATGTGGAGATTAATAAGCGTACACTCCTGGAAACAGAAGTCATTAAGAGCTGTCTTTCTCGATCTAATGAACAAGTAAGTTTCTGTTTCTCTTGTTTATCCCTGCACTCAACTCAGCAGTGGCAGATCTGTTATTACTGACTCTCAAGGGCCATTATTTTCTTTGAACTGTATTCTTTCAACAACTATTAGGAAAAATAAGGAATGAAAAATGAAACGTACTTGATTTCATATTCCCTTAAGGAAAATAAAAACCAGGAAAACTCTGTTTATTAGGTCACCATGTTTGTCTCAGTGTACCAGGGAAGTGGCAGCTCAAATTTACTCCTCCTCATGGATATATGTTCTTTATTTATATGAATTCAGTCCTTGGAACTCTTGCCACTGTCTATAGGCTTTCTTTAAGCCAAAAGGTGAAGGTTAGATGACTGTATGAAGGTGAACACCCAAGACCCATCCTGTGTCAGAAGATAATAGTATAATTCTCATGTGGTGTGCAGTCTTTTTCTGGTTATCATTTTTATAAATATACCAGCAACACAATACTGCACCTAGTGATTGTAAAACCAAACAACTTAATTTGAAGTTGATTTATTTTATTATGTAGATGGGGAAAATGGAAGTTAAAAATTCATATAAAATAACAAATCTGCCCCTTCGGCCAAAATGGAGATTAAATAAAATCATTAAAATAATTGATTTTTTTTTTAAGGGTTTTTTTTTAAAAAAAAAGAAAAAGAACTTTAAATGGATAACTACTTGATCCAGGTCCCAAACTCAGATCTACTGGAAATCAGTCAACAAGTGAGGTAAAATAAGAGCTTGTTTAAAAATCAACCATTAATTTTGTCCATTCTCCATTTTACTGCATAGGTGGAAAAGCTGCCTGTGGGAACCACTGCTAAGTCATGAAATATTAAGCTCAGAATTTAGTATAGCAACTGTGTTTCTCTTGGCTTCTAAATTGATTTTCCAGAGGGAACATCTCAAGAGTTCCTCTTTGAATTACTACTTTGGCCTTCCATGGCACACATTGCTTGACATTGTTGTCAGAAGGAAACAGACACTGTTAAAAGGCTGTGCTAATAGCCACATACCATAAGCATAAGTAAACACACTTTTAGAAACAATCCTGTTTGAATATTTCTACAGAATACAGGCTCTCCACAATTTCAAATATCATCTTCACTGAAAGTTTAACCTTTGAAATATAAGCTTTAGAATGAATCTACTGTTAGATACGTTTGATGCCTGCTAAATTATTTTAGATTTTAAAAGGAACCTGCTGGACTTCTGGCATAATCAGGTACCAAAGTAGCACCGTCTCAGCTTAGTTTCTATTTTATTCACAAAAACGTGCTTTGATACTTTTTTTTTTTTTAAAGAATGTCAGAAACTCCTGAGAGGCTTTGAAAATGTTCCTTAATTCTTTCAAATAAGTTGTCTTTCCTTGAAAGTGGCAGCTGAGCAAAAATCATTCTGGGTCTGCAGTGAGTCAAGAGCTACAGAATGGCTCTGTATTTATGAGTTAATCCTAATTTTAAAGAAGAGGCTCAGATTCCTCCATTTTACAGACAGTCAAATGGCTTTCCCACAGAAGAATTTCCACAGTCCAAACTTGCAGGTTCATTACCAGGTGCATCCAGGCACCAAAGAGCAACAGATGCCAGTACAAAAAGCCATAAAGTTCATGTGCAGCTGCGTTTGGTCAAACACACCCAGCAGTCCAAAGGAAGAGTTCCACTGCTTTGGCTTGCTGTCTGATTCCTGTTCACCCAGTGCCTTCCCACTCCCCTTTGGCTTTAGGAGAGAGATGACTGAGAAGGGATTTGTTTTATCCACAAGGCTGTGGTGGTAAGCTAGTTTATCAATTCATATGAAGCGGTGTTTACAATGGGAGATTTTGTCTAGCATCTGCCACCCAAAGGCCATCTGTAAATAATTTATAAAAGAAAGAATCTACATTGATTTTTTTCATCGGTCTAGAAAAAAAGATTTTTAAAAATGTGTATGCTGTGTGTATTTGCTTCTAAAAGAACCTAGGGAAAGTGGAAAGAAAAAAAATCTCCTTTATTATGTTTGTTTATTTTCACATTAGAGACAGTTTAAAATGGTGATTATTCATTAGCTCTACTTGCTGAGTTCCATGGACAACCAAGCAAAGGAATGAGAGAGAGTACAGGTGGGACCCCAAGTGAACACACTCTGACTCTTCCAAAACCACTTCTCCTCCTCCCACTGGAGATGCTTCCATGTTGTTAGGAAAAGCCCAGTCAATGGAGGTGGTATAACATTTCAAATGTTTTGTATTTCAAGGAGATACCCAAGTCAGAAAGTAGAAAATATGCATGCCATTTTGAACTAATATGTACTTGTGTTTTGTCTAGTGCTCTTTCATTGAATATAAGGATTTCAAGCTAATATACCGGCAGTATGCAGCTCTCTTCATTGTGGTTGGAGTTAATGACACTGAGGTGAGATAATAGAAGAGCCTTTGGAAAATGCAAGAACATTCAGGATAACAGTGTCTGATTTTCACTCCTTTTTAAATCGACATTTTCTTCCTATTTGCCTCCCTAAGATTACTCTTTTGAAGGCTCTTGGTTTCTGTTGAGACAAGGGAAAGCTCTGGTGAGGCAAGGGAAAGCTCTGTGGAAGAGAAACACCTAGCAGCCAATGAAGGAGAGGATAGAGTGCCTTCCTCCATCCTAGGTAATACCAGAGGCCTACCATTGTGGTGTTGCACATGGGGCAACTTAGACCAGCGTAGAGGCCAGTCACTTGTGGCATTAGACATAGGCTGGCATACCAAAAGCCAGAGCAAGCTATAAATATGACTGCATTGTGATTACATCTCCTCAGATTTGGTTCACCTCTTCAGCAATGTCAGTCCCCAGATCAATAGCAAATATAGCCTGGAATCTCAAAGAGGGTGTTTAAGGTCTTAAATACTTTGAAATGTCAGTTATATCTGTGAGCCAAACTTTAAGGTGGTTTCCTCATCATGTTTCATAGATGGAAAAATGATGGCATGAAGAGTCTGAAAAATGGCTTAAGCTAGTTAGTGATGAAATCAGGGAATAGAACTCAGGAATTAAATACTAGACTATAAAGTTTCAATCCCTCTCAATTCATCATGGATTTTAAAAAGATTTTACAGGTTAAAATCTTCATTGATAAGCTTCTTTTAAACAAATGAGCCATAGAACTATTCTGAGTATTTGTGTCAGTGGAAGAAGCTACTTGGCCTACATTTTCTGCTCACCAAGCCACATGCTCTGAAACCTGAGAGCTAACTGGGAATCTCTGTGTCTAACTTATACATGGGCTATACTAAAATTAATTGTACCCTTCCTGTTTTTTTTTAGAATGAGATGTCTATTTATGAATTCATCCATAACTTTGTGGAAGTTTTAGATGAGTACTTCAGCCGAGTGGTAAGTCTAATGACTAAAAAATGGCTTTTTTCAGGCATCCACATTCAGAGTGCAGCTCTGGGGGAGGCTTTCTCTGTCAACTCTGGGGGAAGATCCTTCTCTCTTAATGAGCATCTGCCTCTCATTTTTCTATTGCCTTACTTGCTTGTGCTTAAATATGCTCTTTTTTATTTCAAAAAAGATTGACTTAAGGCAGCCCTACATAATACAACCTCATTAACATAACCAAGAAAACTTGCTCCCAAATGGGATTTTAACCACAGGTATGAACACAATTCAATCGATAATACATCCCATATAATTCACACATTTAAAGTACACAATTCAGTGATTTTTGGTATTTACATAGACTTCTGCAATCATCACCACAGTCAGTTTTAGAACATTTTCATCACCCCAGAAAGAAATTTCATACTTATTTCCCCCGACTTCCCTGGACTTAGGTACCCACTAATCTGTCTTCCTCCCTTTCCTGGCTCTAGGGGGTTTGGGGCCTAGCCTTGCCTGCTGCCCCTTTTTACCTGGATATCCTGCCGCTCCTGAGGGAGGGACCAGAAGCGGCCTCTCAGGGACCTCAGGAATGGCAGGATATCCAGTTTAAAGGTGGCGGGAATCAAGGCTAGGCCCCATACCCCCTACAGCCAGGAAAGGGAGGGATCAGGAGTGACTGGGGACCACAGAGTGCCAGATTTCAGGTAGGAATTAGGTAAGAGGAAGGTGCAGAGGTTTCCAACAGCTAAGGGAGACAAACTTGTCTGTCAGTTTGTCATCCTGTGAGGCTTGTACGTTTCTGCGAGGCCTGAGGGTGTGCCACTGGTGTTTCAGATGCTAGTAGAGTTGCACATGGTGCACAGGTTTCAACACAGCTTTCAGACAAAGACAGACTAGGAAGAAAGAGGAAGCCATCTACTTCTCAAAAATTGGCCAGGGGAAACCTTATGAATAGCAGAGAAACAATGTCCGATACATTACTGGGCAACTTTATGAATAGCTTGGAAACATTGTCCAGCACAGTGCAGGAAGACTAGCCCCTTGGGTCGGAAGGCACTCAAAATAGGACTGGCAAAGAGCTGCCTCATTAGAGTAGAACCAATCTTAATGATATGGATAAAGTAAGTTTTTCAGGACCTCCACGTGTTGACATGGCACAACATAAATTGAGGAGAAACAGCTGCAAACATCCATTAATAATCGAAACATGGAATGTATGAAGTATGAATCTAAGAAAATTGGAAGTTGTCGAAAATGAAATGAAATGCACAAAGATTGATATCCTTAAGTATTAGTGAGCTGAAGGGAGTTCTGATAGCATAGTGCCTAAGGCACTTGACTGCTAACCAGAAGGCGGGCAGTTCAAACCCACAAGCCACTCCTTGGAAGGAAGGTTGGGCAATCTAC